TGAAGTTAGTAAACCTCAGTGAGAGGTCTGTGAAGTCCTTTGTTGAAGTGAGTTCTAAGAAAATACTCATGCCTGCAAGTAGCACTTAGACTTAATGAAGCATTGGTCTGTATACAGTCCTGCACCCTTCCTAGTTTACTAACTGACTTTTTCTCCTCTTGCAGCCCCTCACCTTTTCCAGCTTTGCTAGACAAGTTTCATGATACAGATAAAGCCAGTGTTGGGAAAGGCAGAATTGAGAAAAGCCTCTTAGGGGAGGTAAGGGATTCTTTTTGATGATGGGAAAATGAATTTCCTCTTTGGGGTTGAGGCAGGGGCATAGCAGCTGCTGTGGATTTATTCAACATCAGACGGCCTGTGCTGTGTTGGAGAGTGTGCCTTTGCAGGTCTGGGATGGTCAAGGGGACACAATCTGCCATGCAGATTTCAGAGCATATTGTGGATGTGTTCCTCCCCAATGACTGGTTTGTTCTTTTCTTATCAAGCTGACCCTGGAATATATCTGACTTCTGAGACTGTAGGTGAGTCAGACAGTCAATGTGTGGAGGATGTGACCCTGTATGTCCTTAGATGGGTGACAAACCAGGGCTTTTTTTACTCAGCAGCTAAAGCAGTGGAGTAGTTTTGGCTAGTCTTTGCATTTCTCTGACTTGTTTTTGCATGCTGGGGGTTAAACCTAGGCTTTAGATAAGTGCTCTCCCACTAAGCAATTCCCAGGCTTCCGCAGGAATTCTATAAACATATTTCAACTAAAACAATCTGGAGTCTTTGTCTCTGCAGGTGTGGTGGTTTCAGCACCTTTGGGTGTGAAGGTGTGACCTCTGGGAGAAGGTGTGTCATTGGGAGCAGGCTTTGAGGTTTCAAAAGTCCTTGTAATTCTCAGTCAGTTCTCTGTGCCTCCTGCTGTGAACCAGGTGATACAAGCTTTCAGTTGCTGCTCCAGCACTTGCCTACCTGCAGCCATGCTCACCACCATGATTGTCATGGAACCATGAGCCCAGAATTAAATGGTTGATTTTATAAGTAGTGTTGGTGCCAGTGTCTTATCATAGGAATAGAAAAGAAGCTAAGGCAGCAGGTAAAGCACTTACCACCAAGCTTGGTGTCCTGAGTTTCATTCCTAAAACTCAGAGGTGAAAGGAGAGAATCAAATTCCACCTGTTGTCCTCAGACCAACACACATGTCCCATGACATCCATGTACCTATACATATATAAACACATACATTCAATAAATAAATTTAACCTAGAAATATAAAAATGTCTTATGTCCTTTAGGGAATTAGAATGTTCAAAATTAACATTTAAATAATTAATCTTTTATGCTTAGAACAAAGCATATGACATATGATTCATTTGGATTTCTCAGTAATACCTCTAGGTTTTATAATATGGATCTTTATCTGCTTACTAAATTTATCTGTAATAAGGACATATAAATAAGTACAGTTTTAAATTCTGTTTTACATTTTTATGTTTAGGCCGGGCAGTGGTGGCGCACGCCTTTAATCCCAGCACTTGGGAGGCAGAGCCAGGCGGATCTCTGTGAGTTGGAGGCCAGCCTGGGCTACCAAGTGAGTCCCAGGAAAGGCGCAAAGCTACACAGAGAAACCCTGTCTCGAAAAAACAAAAACAAAAACAAAACATTTTTATGTTTAAATGATGTATGGTTGTTTGTATCATGTGGCCCAATATGACATCTCCAAGCATGTGTCCAACATGGATGAACAAAATGGAATGATCAAATGGGTGTGGTTGTCTTATCACCTCATATATTTTCCATTTAGAGGACTTTTAGGAACTGAAGGTTGGTAAATATCCCTGAAGCCCTGGACTCAGAGACAGCACCAAAAAATAAACTAGACCATGTGTGACAGTGGCAGCCCTGAAGGAGAGGATATCTGCAAGCTTGTGTTCC